TTGTAGATGCTGGAATAAATGGAAAAGGTAAGTACATAGGTAAACTAAATAATTATCTAATGTCTTATGGGATTATAAACTAATGTGGGGTTAAAATATGTATGTTATATATAATTAAATTACAACAGTGGTACATAATTTAGAGAGAAGGAAATGGAATTAATGTGTTTTATTGTCTTTGCTTTGTCCAAGAAATGGTAAAAGTAGTAAATTATTAAGTAGAGGTGTGTGTTATATCTGGGGCAGTGAATAAACAAATAATAAAAGAATGTTTAACTAATAGCTAGGAGGGGTGGAAAATGGAATATGGAGTTGGAATACCATATTAACATAGAAAACGTAAGACAAATAGAAAGCAAATAGGTAGATTAAACTTTAAAGATATATATGTAAACACATTAAGTATGCATAACTAATACTTGAAATAAAAGACAAAGAATACCAATATTAGATTTTTAAGATCAACTATGTGCTGTTTAGAAGAGAGACCCCTTACATAGAAGGATATAAAAGAAACTTAGAAGCACAGAAAAAGATATACATCATATATACTAACAAAAGAGCTATTGACAAAGTAGATTTAAGTCAAGAAACATTACTAGAAATATAATATGTTCATCAGGAAAGTGAAACATTATGAAAGATGTACTTAATAACATAATCTCAAACATAACTAAACTATAGATTTCACATATGATTTTTGCAAGGTTGCTAGATACAAGGTCAGCATACAAATCCAATTTCTGCATACCGTTATCAAAAGTTTGAAAATGAAGCAGATACCTTTTACAATAGTATCCAAAACCATAACACATAATACATCTAATAAGAAATGTGTAAGAGCTCCTCATAATACTATGGACCATTATTGAAAGACAGAAGACCTAAGTAAATCGAAGAATAGATCATGTTTATGAACTGACAAACTCAATGTCATTAAGATGACCTTTCTCTCCAAGTTGATCTGTTTGGATTCAGTTCAATCCACATGACACTACAGAGTACTGAGATGTTTTTTTTTTCAGTAAATGGTGCTAGAAAAAGTGAAACCCATCTGTACTTCACACCATCAACACAAATCTAGAATCTCCTAGAATTTATTAATGACTGGGATTTCTTTCTTTTTTTTTTTTTTAATTTATTTGACAGAGAGCACGAGCACAAGCAGGGGGAGTGGCAAGCAGAGGGAGAAGCAGGCAGAAGCAGGCTCTCTGCTGAGCAGGGAGCCTGATGGGGGACTCAATCCCAGGACCCTGGGATCATGACCCGAACATAAGGCAGACACTCAACTGACTGAGCCACCCAGGCATCCCGTGACTGGGATTTCTTAAACTGGACACACAAAGCACTAACCATAAAAGAAAATATTGATAAATTGGACTATAGTAAATTTTTAAAAAGTTTAAAACTTCTGTACATTAAGAGAGTGCTAAGGCAAACTGCAGACAGGGAGCATATAAACTGATGAAGAGTTGTATCCAGTGTATAAAGAATTCTTACAAATTAACAATAAATAGACAGACAACCCAATTGGAAAATGTGCATGAGACGTGACCAGTCATTTCACAAAAGAGGATATCCAGATGCCAAAAAAAACTTAGGTAAAAGTAGTCAATCCCATTACTAATCAGGGAAATGTGATTAAAATCACCACACATCCACAGAATGATTAAAATTTAAAAGACTGGCAGGGGCGCCTGGATGGCTCAGTTGTTAAGCATCTGACGCTTGATCTCAGCGCAGGTCTTGATCTCAGGGTTGTGAGTTCAAGCCCCGTGTTGGGCTCCACGCTGGGCATGGAGCCTACTTAAAAAAAAAAAAAAGACTGGCAGTACCAGTTACTGGCAAGGTAAAGAGCTTTGGGGATACTCAAACACAGCTGGTGGGACTGTAAACTTGTACAACCACTCTAGAAAACTAGCATTAATCACTAAAAATTGAATATGTACATACCCTGTGACCCAGCATTTACTTCCAATTACCCATCTGAATTTTTACCTACTTAACAAGAGAGAATAGGAACTAGTAGGTAACCATGCAGTAAAGGAAAGGAAGTTTCTCCTTTTAGAAGTCTTCCAACTAATAAATGAAAAAGGGATGACAGAATTAAAATGTGACTATTTTGCAACCCCTTTGCTGGTGACAGAAAGGCAACTTAATGGATGAATATGACGTGACTTGTGAAGTAGTTTTACTCCCCTCTCTATCCTCTCCACGCCAAAAAAAAGAAAGAAAGAAAGAAAAAAAAAAAAGAGCCTGAATCTAATTAAGCTTCCTAAGATCCAACTACTAAGTTATAGGAAGCACAGAAGACAAGAACATGTTAAAGTACACTCTAGGGAAGCAATCAGTGAAATCCAGACTGTGGAAACCTCTTAGTAGTACAAATAACCATGTTTCATTAGGAAATAAATTGTAAGAAAAAATGGAAAGGGAACCTATCAAAAAGAAATTTAAAATAAGGCTTATCAACTAATTGCAATGTATGTATCTTATATAAAATCCAGACTCAAACAAACTGTAAAAAATCTTTGACATGTGTGAGACTACTGGGAAATTTAAGCCATGATTGGATGCCATTATTTTTTTTTATTCAATGATAATAAGGACTTATTATTTTTTAATTTGTGTGGTTATATTTTTAAAGGAGTTCTTATCTTTAGAGATATATGGTGAAATATTTATAGATTCAAAGTAATATGGGTGGGGTGGAAATGGGTACAGATATAGATGAAACAGAAGTGGGCAGGAATGGTTCACTGTTGAATCTCCATGATGGGTACTTGAGAATTTCTTATATTTTTACATCTGTTTTTGTATATGTTTGAATTTTTCTGATAGAAAGTTAAAAATAGAGGGGAAAAGAGGAAAAGGCCCACTGATTAAAAACAACAACAACAACAATTTCAAAACAGACAGAATAGGAAGACGAACAAGGTGATCAGACAAGAGAAAGGGGGTGGGTGAGCAGTTTCAGGGGTGACTCCTCAACAGGTGAAGGGAATGGGAGCCATTGCAGAAGTGGAGGGGTGGCCTGAAGATAGGGGCACAGATCATTATACTCTGAGGGAGGGCAGACTTTCTTAAACTAAATCACAAGCTCCTTAAGGGACTTTAGACAGCCTCATAAATGCTTTTGAACACCCATTTTTCTCTGGAGAAGATAAAATAGAAACGGGGATAACAAATGGCAAAGGGAAATAACCCATACTGAGCATTTACTATGTACTAGGCACCATACTAAACTGCTTTATCTCAGTCTTCACCACAATTAGATGAAGTAGGCATTATTATCCCATTTTATGAGTAAGGAAATGGAGGCTCAGAGAGATTAAGTCACACAGCTAGTAAACAGTGCAGTTGGGAGCACACGTGGGTATTTCTGCCTCCAAAGACCATTTCCCTCCACTACATCACACCGTTCTGAAGGAACCTGATGTTCACAATGAAAAATTAAATTATATTTTGTGTAGAAGGTATTTAAATTTCAAAATTGTTCTCTCAAGTGAAGGAGAAAGAGAATTCATGTATTAACTTTGAGAAGTTATCAGAGAAAAATAGCTCTCTTTTCTGACTATGTTGAGATGACTTTTTGTGATGTTGAGGATTTAAAAATGAACAATGATAAATCGATCTAATTACATACTATATTAAGATTTTTAATTAATATTTTTGCATTAATTTTTCTGTTTTTTCTCCAAGATATTCAAATACTTCATGAGACATTTCTTAACATTGAACCAAAGGATCATAGATTACAGAATGTTAAAGTGATTCTGCTGCTACCTCGTTGTTCAGGACTGGGTGTTAGTAATCCAGTAGAATTTATACTAAATGAGCATGAAGGTACTTTAAAATTTTTTAATTTATAAATTATTGAAACCTGTTGATAATCTCAAAAATAAAATTATTTAAAATCATTAAAATGACATATCAAATATATCTGATTAATGAATAGCTACCAAGTATAGAGCACTTACAATATATAAAGTACTTTACAGGTCATCTGAGTGGCTCCGTTGGTTAAGTGGCTGATTCTTGATTTTGGCTCAGGTCATGATCTCAGGGTCCTGAGATTGAGCCCCACGTTGGGCTCTGTGCTAGTCTGCTTCTCTCCCTGTCTCTCTCCCTCTGCTCCTCCCCGTGCTTGCACAACTCTCTCTCTCTCAAATAAATAAAGTAAAATCTTAAAAAAAAAAAAAAGTACTTTACATTCATTGTCTCATTTAATCCTTACAGCAATCCTTTGTGATATGCACAAGGGGAATATTAAAGATATTTAATAATTGGAATGATGTAGGCCATCAGAACAGATGTTGGCCAGTGTGCTAGTCTGGTATATACCAGAACTCAAGATATAGGCATTAAAATTTATCAGCATTTTATAGATGAAAAAACTGAGACTCAGATTAATTCATTTCTGTAAGGTCACACAGGTTCTAGTTAGTAACAGAGCTAGAATTCAAATTTAGATCAGCTAGACTCTAAGACTGTGTTCTAAAATGGTCCTAACTAAATCATCACATTATTTCAAACTCAAGACTTCTTTAATCCCCAGTATGTATGTTTTTTGATATGAATACCTCAGATTAAATATTAATTCTAGGAATATTTTATTTGCTTCTTTAATAAATCATAAAATATTATTTAATATTACCATTTATTGAGCACTTGTATATAAGGCAGTGAGCTAAGCACTTTGCTTCGATTATTTTATCAAGTCCTCACAAGAACTCAGTGGATCAGGTACAGTAGTCTCCCGTTATCTATGAAAATTCGTTCCAAGACCCCCAGTGGATACCTGAAACCATGGGTAATACTGAACCCTACATATACTATGTTTTTCCCATACCTATGCACCTATGATAAAGTTCAATTTATAAATCTGGCACAGTAAGAGATTAATAACTAATAAAATGGAGCAATTATAACAATATTCTGAAATAAAGGTTATGTGAATGTGGTTTCTCTTTGAAAATATCTTATTGTACTGTACTCACCCTTCTCGTGATGATGTGAGATGACAAAATGTCTGTGTGATGAGATGGAGCGAGGTGAGTGATGTAAGTACTGTGACGTAGCGTTAGGTTACTATTGACCTTGTGCCGATTGGTCAGAAAAAGGATCATCTGCTTCCGGGACCGAGGTTGACTTTCAGTAACTGAAACTGCAGAAAGCAAAACCACAGATGATGAACTCTTATTTTCTACATTTTATGAGTACAGAATCTGAGGCTCAGAGAGGTTGATGCTCCCCAGAGCCATTTGACTAGTGTCAGGGCCCAGATTCAAACACAACAGCTCTGACTCTGAGGTTGACACTGTGAGCCACTTTTTAAATCAGAATGTATTGCTGTGCATTAACTGAAATGGTTCCTTACTCTAATCTGTTCATATTGAAAGCCCTAGTTAGATAAGATTAACTGGAATATTAGATAAAGAAGACATTTCAGCAACATTCAACATATAGTGAGTACCTATTTTCTGTTTCTAGCAAGGAGCAAATCAAAGATGAGAAAAAGAAATGCAGGAAAAGAAGCTAATATTCATTGCACACAACTATGTGCCAGTCAATATTCTAGGTGGTACGCATGCACTATCACTTAATATTTACCATCACTTTTTGAGGATAGTGTTCTTTTATTACTGTATTTCACAGAGGGGGAAAAAACAAGACTCAGAAATCTCACAAGTTGCCTAAGGTCATGTAGCTAGTAAATAGAAGTTGGGATTCAAATTCAGATGAGTTAGCACATTCCACAATACTACACAATGTGTAACTAGGCTTACACTGTTCCACATGGAATTTTGAGTTGCTATAGAAAATTTCTTCCCAGTGACAGTAAAACAGAAGAAAAACCAACTCAGATGGGAGAATGGCGAGCTGAGAAACTTCCTACATTAACTGAGAAATAAATAAGAATTAGTAGACACTGGGAAAAGAGGGGAAGAAATAGCAGCAGCTATAATAAACATTGCAGTCAAGAGATTTAGAGCTTCCAGCTGAGAGACTCTGGCCTTATTCTGGGCCATCTTGAAGTGGGAATGCAGAGAAAAACCAACCATAGGTAAAAATAAACTAGAGGCTGGGGGTGAGGGGGCCTGGGAAAGCCCAAAGGGAACAAGTGATGAAAAGGGAGAAAGTAAAATATTTCCTAGGTATTAGCAACATTCTGAAAACTTTGCTCAAGAGGCATCAGGATAAGCCAAGAAGCGGTCTTTGGCAAACCTGGAAAAAAAGGAGGGTTTCCTCTGAGGAGGTAACAGCCAGAGCAAATAAGGAGCTGCTGACCTAGTGCCTATGGTAGAAATATTAGTAATAAACTTAGTAAGGATGAACCCAAAGGACTTAGATATTAGGTGGAAGGGAGAAATCATGAATTTGAAAAACATTTTAACATTGAAAAATATTAGAACCATTGAGGAATATATGAAATTGTTCTTTGCTAATAACTTGGAATTATTTTAAAATGGGGTGAAAGAGGCAAATTGACATGGTTTTAAATAATAATATGTAAATGGTCCTTTAAAAAGTGGTGAATAGAGATAGAAAAATGTGAAGTGTAAAACTAGTGGGAAGAAATGGAGTTTAATTAACCTTTAGTGATATTACTGGAATGGAGAACAGCCAATATAAGGCATAAATAATTGGCTCTCATACTCCAGGGAGTTAGTGAGAAGTAGAATAAACAGAAGTTAGGAGTTTGGACTCTCTGGTCAGATTTCTCAGCTAGAATCATGGTTCTACATCTAGTAGCTATGTGACTTAGATAACTGGATTAATGTATGTTTGAACAGTTTTCTTTTTTTTTTTTTTAAAGATTTTATTTATTTATTTGACAGAGAGAGACACAGTGAGAGAGGGAACACAAGAAGGGGGAGTGGGAGAGGGAGAAGCAGGCTTCCTGTGGAGCAGGGAGCCCAATGCAGGGCTCGATCCCAGGACCCTGGGACCATGACCTGAGCCGAAGGCAGACACTTAACAACTGAGCCACCCGTGTGCCCCTGAACAATTTTCTTAATGTTAAAAGGGATAATAAAGGGGGTCATAGGGGCGCCTGGGTGGCTCAGTCCGTTAAGCGGCTGCCTTTGGCTCAGGTCATGATATCAGGGTCCTGGAATCAAGCCCTGGGTAGAGCTCCCTGCTCAGCCGGGAGTCTGCTTCTCCCTCTCCCTCTGGCCCTCTCCCCCCACCACCCCTGCCTGTGCTCATGCCCACTCTCTCTCTCTCAAAGAAATAAGTAAAAAATATTTTTTGAAAGGGGGGGTTGATAAATAAAATAATGTATATAAAGTAGTATTCAATATATTCTTTTATTTTATTTTTATTTTATTTTTTTTTAAGATTTTATTTATTTGTGAGAGAGAGAATGAGAGACAGAGAACATGAGAGGGAGGAGGGTCAGAGGGAGAAGCAGACTCCCTGCTGAGCAGGGAGCCTGATGTGGGACTCGATTCCGGGACTCCAGGATCATGACCCGAGCCGAAGGCAGTCGCTTAACCAACTGAGCCACCCAGGCGCCCTTCAATATATTCTTAATCTCAAGAAAATTAGTTTAAGTTACTTTAAGAGTTTCTTGATTTGTTTCTTAATCTATGAAGACATACATTTACTTAATTTTTTTCTTCCAAAATTTCTTTTGGTAAGTTAATGTTTTTAACTGTCCTTTTGTATTCTTTCCTACTCATATCTGACTCTAGCTCATCAGCTTCTGCCTTGGAAATAAATCTCTTCTTTCTTTTCCTCTATTAGTCTCCAGACTTAGAGCATTCTCTCCTCTGTACCTAAATGACTTAGTTGGCTGGTAGGATGACTATCTCATAAGAACTTGGAGAAGAAAAAAAAAAAAAGAACTTGGAGAAGAAAGAAAAACAATATTAAAACTAAACAATATTACCTTTATTTAGTTTTTTAATTTTTACTCAGCGTTTTATAATATTTATGTAATTTCAATAAATATTTTTCCACGAAAACTCTCATTAATAGGAAAAATGATTAAAAAATTAAACTATGTGATTACAGCAATATATGGAAAGCACCCAATAGTGATATATTTTAAAGGATTTATTTGCTTTTAGATACAGGTTTACTTAAAGATTTCTCTCAAGGAGGCATATCAGAAGATAAACTTCACATTCTTGCTCAACAGCAGTATGAACAGCTAACACATGCAATGAAATGTAAGTTTATTATCAGTGCAATCTTAAAATATGTTGTAAATCTTAGAAACATTAATACTTCATTTATCTATTACAATCAGGCAATGAGATGTGAACCATAAGTGAATTTTCCAAAATTAGTGCCTTCCAATATAAAAATATTTCTTCTTTTTTTTTTTAAGATTTTTTTTTTCTTTTTTCTTTATTTATTTGAGAGAGAGAATGAGATAGAGCATGAGAGGGGGGAGGGTCAGAGGGAGAAGCAGACTCCCTGCCGAGCAGAGAGCCCGATACGGGACTCGATCCCGGGACTCCAGGATCATGACCTGAGCCGAAGGCAGTCGCTTAACCAACTGAGCCACCCAGGCGTCCCTCAAAATATTTCTTTTTACCAATTCAGCCTGTCTTTTAAAAATAGATGCCCTGGGAGTCTGGGTGGCTCAGTTGGTTAAGCGACTGCCTTCGGCTCGGGTCATGATCCTGGAGTCCCAGGATCGAGTCCCGCATCGGGCTCCCTGCTCAGCGGGGGGTCTGCTTCTCCCTCTGACCCTCTTCCCTCTTGTGCTGTCTCTCATTCTCTCTCTCAAATAAATAAATAAAATCTTTAAAAAAAAATAAAAATAAAAAATAAAAATAGATGCCCTGCTATCATTTGTAGCTTAGGTTAGCAAGCATAATGAATAGTTTCTTGATGCTGATGTAAAATAATTACATACGGTAATACATTACTTTATGGAACCGTTTGGTTTTCTTTATTTCTTTCTTTGGCTTCTTATTTGATGTAATTTTTCTGTTGTCATTGTGGCTGCCCATAATAACTATTCTGCAATCCAAATTTTAATCAAACTCTTATGTCTCTTCGTACTAAATAGAGAATAGAGAAATGCAATTATAAATATAGCCTAGTTTTTTTATTTGAATTCTGAGTAACTAAGCTCTTTAGGTATTTATTTTGTTGTTTCAATCACTCCATTTAGGTGTGAGTACCATTTAGATTTTGAGGAGCATTGCCCTCAAATGGATATGGAAATGGAAAATTGAGAAGTCTCTGAGAAATGACATAAACTATTATTAATTCAGTGCATGTTTATCAAGTGCATACTCTGGGTCAGGCTGGATGATAGGGATATGAGTGTGAATAAATCCTGATCTCCAAAGGCTCAAAGATAAATAAATATACAGGTATAGATAATTCAGTACATAAAGGTAGAACATAAATGAGAAAGAAATAAGGCAAATGGAAAGCACAGAGCAGGTCTGCCCTTTTAGTTGATGCTACTAAACATCAATTTGAACCTAAATACATATATATGAATGATCTATGAAATAAGCTGGTTGGAAGATTAGAAGGTTGGTAAGTAATTTTTTGATGCTTTCTCTGATTACTTTATTTAAAATTACAATATCATCTCCTGAAACTGTCCCTCCATTCATGCTTTTTCTCTATAGCACTGTCAGCTCCTAAAGATACTATATGATTTAACTATTTATTTGTGTCTTATCATGTCAATAAAATGAGGAAAAGAAGCTCCCCAGGGGCAGCAATTTTTGTCTGTGTATCTTGGATGCCTACAGTGTGCTTAGTATGTAGTAGGTGCTTGATATGTGTGAATAAATGAGTGAGTGCAGGTGGTAGTAATATCTCATTTTACAGAAGAAGAATCTGAGAGTTTAAATAATTTTCCCAGGTTCATACAGCAGTTAAGTAAAGAAATGGAATTCATATCTAAGTCTGTTTCTAGAGTCCTTTAAACTAGTCATGTGCTATGGCTCGTGGGAGAATGCCTGAAGTATCAAGCTCATGGTAATGTGCAATATTATTTGTTTGTGTTTGTAACTGGCTTGGTCACATTGACTGAGCTTCCAGTTTCCAAACAGATCAATGAAACCAGCAGCTGGTTCTTTGAAAACATTAATAAAATCAGTAAACCCCTACTGAGACTTTTCAAAAAGAAAGGAGAAAGGATCAAAATAAATAAAATCACAAATGAGAGAGGAGAAATAATAACCAACACCACAGTAATACAATTATAAGAGAATATTATGAGAAACGCCATGCCAACAAATGGGACAACCTAGAAGAAATGGATAAATTCCTAGAAACATAAAAACTACCAAAACTGAAACAGGAAGAAATAGAAAACTTGAAGAGACCGATAACCAGCAAAGAAATTGAATCAGTAATCAAAAATCTCCCAACAGGGGTGCCTGGGTGGTTTAATTGGTTCAGCATCTGACTGTTTTTTTTTTTTAAGATTTTATTTATTTATTTGAGACAGAGAGAATGAGAGACAGAGAGCATGAGAGGGAGGAGGGTCAGAGGGAGAAGCAGACTCCCCGCCGAGCAGGGAGCCCCATGCGGGACTCGATCCCGGGACTCCAGGATCATGACCTGAGCCGAAGGCAGTCGATTAACCAACTGAGCCACCCAGGCGCCCCAGCATCTGACTGTTGATTTTGACTCGGGTCATGATCTCAGTGTCCTGGGATCGAGCCCTCATCAAGCTCTGTGCTCATTGGAAAGTCTGCTTAATGATTATCTCCCTCTCCCTCTGCCTCTCCCTACACATAGTCTCTCTCTCTCTCTCTCTCTCAAATAAATTAAAAAATCTTATAAAAACAAAACAAAACAAAACAAAACTCTCCCAACAAACAAAAGCCCAGGGCCAGATGGCTTCCCGGGGGAATTCTACCAAACATTTAAAGAAGAGTTAATGCCTAGTCTTCTCCAACTGTTCCAAAAAATAGAAATGGAAGGAAAACTTCCAAACTCATTCTACAAGGCCAGTATTACCTTGATTCCAAAACCAGACAAAATCTCCACTAAAAAAGAGAATTATAGGCCAATATCCCTGATGAACATGGATGCAAAAATTCTCAACAAAATACTAGCAAACCAAATCCAACAATACATTAGAAGAATTATTCATGATCAAGTGAGATTTATTACTGGGTTGCAAGGGTGGTTCAACATTGGCAAATCAATCAACATGATACACCACATTAATAAAAGAGGATAAGAACCATATGATCCCCTCAATAGATGCAGAAAAAGGATCTGACAAAATACAACATCCATTCATGATAAAAACCTCAACAAAGTAGGAATAGAGGGAACATACCTCAACATCATAAAAGCCATATATAAAAACCCCACACCTAATATCATCCTTAGTGGGGGAAAATTCCTCTATGGTCAGTAACAAGACAGGGATGTCTACTGTCACTTCTGTTATTTAACATAGTATTGGAAGTCCTAGCCACAGCAGTCAGACAACAAAAAAACTAAAAGGAGGGGCACCTGGGTGGCTCAGTCGTTAAGCGTCTGCCTTCGGCTCAGGTCATGATCCCGGGGTCCTGGGATCGAGCCCCGCATCGGGCTCCCTGCTCGGCGGGAAGCCTGCTTCTCCCTCTCCCACTCCCCCTGCTTGTGTTCCCTCTCTCGCTGTGTCTCTCTCTGTCAAATAAACAAATAAAATCTTAAAAAAAACACACACAAAAAAAACTAAAAGGCATCCAAGTCGGCAAGAAAGATGTCAAACTTTCACTATTTGCAGGTCACATGATACTCTATTTAGATATCACAAAAGACTCCACCAAAAAATTACTAGAACTGATAACACAAATTCAGTAAAGTCACAGGATACAAAATCAATGGACAGAAATCTGTTACATTTCTATACACCAATAATGAAGCAGCAAAAAGAGAAATCAAGGAATTGATGCCATATACAACTGCACCAAACCATAAGATACATAGGAATAAAGCTAACCAAAGAGGTAAAAGATCTGTACTCTGAAAACTATAAAACACTGGTGAAAGAAGTTGAAAATGACACAAAGAAATGGAAAAACATTCCATGTTCATG